TAATATAGACGGCTATTCTGAGCCACATATAACATGAATTTGGGAAGTGATATCTGAGCCTGTAGGAAGAAGGAAAATCTTGCAACTAAAGGAGATGTGAGTGACGTAAGGATAAAAGATTTTTGAGGAGAAACTCCATGGGCAATTCCTTGAGGACTAATGGCCAGGTTATTTTTAAGGAAAGATCATTTCCTACATTAAACTTGAACTGTTTCTAGCCCTGTGTTGTTATTAATATATTTTGTTACCTCCACAAGTTCAAGAAAACACAACCCAGTAAACAGCATCTAGACTCACCCAAGCCAGTCAGGCCATCCCCACTAACCAGGTCTCCCTGTGCTCATCAGCAAGTGTTGGCTGCCTTCCCCCAAACATTGCTACCAAGGAGCAAAGACTGGATTCTGCCAAGGCAGTCATCAGTCATTGGCAAGCAGGTCCTGGTCCTGCCACCTGGTCTGTGAGCCTTCGGGTGTTCAGGTGGCCCAGACATGCTCCTGCGTATACCCCCCAGGCAGACAGGACTGTGTTCTGATGGTGGGAACACCGTGTCAGGCCACCGTATGCTCTGTTTAGTGGGGAACACAGGGATGGGGTTTTAAACCTAGGGCGTTCTTCTCAAAGTGTAGGGCCACTGGGCACTTCAGATTCTTATACTCCGTTCATGGTGAGGGGAGAGATACCTGAATAATCACATATGGTGAACATCACTTATTTCACCAGCAAAAAGTCATTTTTAATATCTTTTATCTAGTTAACAATCACCTTCTTGCAGAAATATTTGAAACCTACTACAGCTGCCTTGAGTAAGGATTCCAATTAGGTGCTAACGAATGCTAATTGCCTGCCTCTGGGATGTGTGCAACTGCCCACAGGGTATAGAAGAAAGGTTAGCAGACACACACACACAGACACACACACACACACACACACACATTCTCACACACCAGTATCTATAGTATAAAGTGTTTAGAAGTTAATCACAATGAATGATGAGGAAAATCTGGCTGGGGGTTTGGCAACCACAGGGCCAGAGAAGACAGTCACAGGCAGTCAGATATGGATGGCCTGGGGATTTCCTGGGAGCCCACAAATGCAAAGTTCTCTTTCATTCAAGTGACCCAGATCTGTGGTAGCCACTAGCCACTCATGGCTAATAAGCAATTGAAATGTGGCTAGGGTGATTGAGAAACTATATTTAATTTTATTTAAATTCCTTTAAATTTAAATTTTAAAATGGATTCTCTATTCAGCTATTGGACAACTTTAATTATGTATGAACAACTTGCACGTGTGAACCTAATTTTTCAATCGTAAATTTTCTGAATTCTAAACACAGATCAAGTATTTCCCATAAAAATGTAACATCCAAATTGTGTTGTAAGCATAGAAATGCATACTCTATTTCAAGGACTTAGTATGAGAAGAAGAAAATCATTCAGAATTTTGATGTTGATTACATGTGAAAATGATAATATTTTGCATACATTGGGGTAAATAAAATGGGTTATAAAAATTAGTTTCACTTGCTTTTACTTACTTTTAAAATGTGGCCACTGAAAATCTTGAACTTACATATGTGACTGACAGTCTACATCTCTATTAGACAGCACTAGGAGATGTTCGAAGCTGGCTGGCTCAGTGTTCACTTCTACTCTTGTGTTAGAAGACAGAAGCCTTGACCACAGGTGAGAAATCTGACAACTCTATTGTAAGTTTGCAGTAACAACTTGCAAAAGTCTTTCTGGTTCTGGCCATTGCAGAGTAGCTAAGATTGGACCAATCCTGTCCCCCAGAATAGCTATAAAAACTGGGCAAAAATCAGAAGACAAATGCTAGAAAGCACTGGAGAGCAACCAACATGGACATGCCACGAGGAGCTGGTCCTCGGGAGGAAGGACATGCTGGGGTGAGCCCCATGTACCCCAGTTTTACTAGGGGACAGTGCCTAAATTGCAGCCCAGGAAATAAAGCAATGCAATAAAGCAATGAAATAAATCATTTCACTTGATTGAGGAGACAGAAGTCAGAATGTGAGGCTGTCTAAGCACCTGGAATTTGAAGGAAAAATCCCGGAAAGAAAGAAGGGAACAGAATAGAAGAGGCCTAAAATTCTGCATTCAATTTTTCCTCAAACCAATTGGCTGATTCCCAAGATGTGCATGCACAGGGTGCTGTTCCAAAGGAAAAAAAAAAAAAATACAACCCAGCAGCTGCGAGGCTAAAGGCCTGCTCAGGAATTTCAGCAGCCACACAGTGCTGGGAAGTCAGAAGTTGGAGTTAGAGCCCAGTGAGATTGGGGGTAGGGAAGGAGTGGAGTGGGGGGATGAAAAACTCACCCTAGGATGAACAGCCCCCAGAGCATGGACTACACAACCTAGGAGTGAGGGCAAATGTCAATCGGGGCCCAACTTCAGGTAGGTCCTAACTGTGTCTAAACCCAAGCCTTGACAGGATCCTTCTTGACCCACAAACCGCCCACTCTGCTGCCCTCACCCCTCTGCAAGCCAAGGGACTCTGTCCTGAGGGTACCTCTCAGCCCTGAGCCAGCGGGTCCTGCCCCCCACCCGCCGCCTAGCTCTGCAGAGCTGCCTGTCCCTCACCAGCGCCCTGTGTGTCAATCGCAGCGGTGGTGACGTCTGCTGAGGCCAGGCTCACCCAGGGTCATTTGTTCATGACTTGTTGATCAAGTCTTGGTCACTTATGAAACACACATTTTTTCAATTTCAGAATCAGCGTGTTCTTTGCTATAGAGTGAGTTAGGATTACACATTAATACGAATGAGGAGAGAAATGACAAATGGGTGATGTGGGAAGCACCATTTTTCACTTCGAAGCTGTTCACAACCAAACCGTGTGCAGGGAGCCCAGCTTTCAGTGCAGACGTGGCAGGCGCATTCAGCCATGTGGCCCTTGTCCTCTCAGCTCGCAGGGGCTGTTCGATGGCTCCCCCCGGGTTAGGAAGCAGAGAGAGGTGCAGGGAACCGGGTCCTACCCCAGACACTCCTGGTTCACCAGGGAAGCCAGTCGGCACTAGAACTGGGTGGACTGTAATAGGTGCTACCCAGACGAAAATGGCACTAGAGGAATGAAATTCTTACCAGGGCATGAAAGGAGACACCACAGGGATATTGCCCCTTGGTGGGGGCTTGAAGATGAACATGACGTAGCTAAGCAGAGGCAGAGGGAATTTGTGAGCAAAAGCCTAGGAGTGGGAAGGAAATGGCAGGATCGTGTGTGGTTTCAGGGGGCAGGCGGGAGATGTGACCAGCCAGGACAGCACTCCAGAAGGAGGGAAGGCCAGGGTGCCGGCAACCGGCAACTCAGTCAATGGGGAGGGGCAGACGGGGGAGGATGAGGATGGGGGGGAGTGAAAGAAGTTATTGCTTTCATTTCCTCTAAATAAATTGAAGGATTCACATTTCTAGATAAAAAATGTGAGGAGTCTTAAAATCATTCCCATTACTCAGAACAGAACACTTTCAAAAGGCCATTTTAGGTTCAGAGTCCTGGGGAGAATCCATCCACAGACTTCCAGGCTTAGTCCTTCAGAACAGGGGTTCCCCAGCATTTTTGGTGGCACCATGAGGTCACAAAAGAAACCATTGAGCATGCACTCCAAATTGTGTACATTTGTTATTCACACATCATACACATAGTTACGCACACCATACTTCTGATATGTTAACATATGTGATAAAACTTGCCACAAGAAATAGTAAATTTTAAAGAGAAATTAAATAGAGTTTTAAGGATATCTCCCCCTCCTCAGTGGCACATCCTGCCCCACCCCCCAGCTGCACCTACCTGGGTGGAAACCACCCACTGAGAACCCAGGTTTTCCGCCCAAATAAGCTACTGCCCTTGGGTTCAGCCCTCCCCGGGCAGGCTCAGGCTGTGGCAGAGCCCGCTGCGCCCCTCCAGCTTCGTTTCTCAGCAGTGCTTTGCTCGGCTCAACAATCGCCTAGATTTGAGGAGCCCTCTCAATCCCTCCCTTTTGACTTTTTCTTTTCCCTCAACCTCTCTCTCCATGTTCCTCCCATGACTTCCGACTTCAGGGCAGAGTAAGGAAGGATTTGCAAAGTAGGGAGGGTGCGGGGGAGACTCTGGACCGGAAGTCCTGGAAGCTTCGGGGCTGGTGCTCCGAGCAGCTGGGAAACAGCGCCCAAGTCACTCGAGGCTTTCAGCGGATGAAATGGGCCGTTGGCGCGGAAGGGTGCTAGGCGCGTGTTGTCGCGTGGCCGCCGTCCCGCCGATCCCCAGTGTCGGAGGTGGGGCCTAGCGGGAGGCGTTTGTGTTTTGGCGGGTGGATCCCTCGGAAATAGATGAATTCCCTCCTGTGGAATTCACCTGTCGGTGAGCGAGTTCCGACTCTGCTAGCTCCGTAGACGTGCTTTGTGTGGAACATACAGGTGTTAGGTAAGCTCTGTGCAGGCCTCAGTTACAGCGCTGTTGGCCGTGAGTGCAGTGTTGATAAAGCGACACCTTGTGCTAATTCTCTTTAAACAGACAGACATGGTGGCTTGTCCTGCCTTCCCTCTCGCGGGCGTGCGCTCCCTGTGGAGCCCGCCGTTTGCCAAGCCAGGTTTGCAGCGCAAATGCCCCCGCAGTCTGGCCGCAGAGGGTCTGCGCAGGGTTTCCTGGCGGGAGGGCACACGGGCTTCAAAAGATTTCCGGGCGGTTTGTGAGTCACCGACATTTCAGCGAAATTGTAAAGGTCTTTTTTTACTAAAGTGAAGGCCATATAATAAAATTAACCTTTTTAAAGTGAGGAATTCAATGGCATCCAGTGCGCTGACAGTGACAGTGCTGTGCAGCCACCGCCACTATCTCATTCACCATCCCCCACCCCCCAAACCCGCCTGAGTAGTTGCCTCCCATTCCCCTCCCCCCAGCCCCTGGTAGCCACCTCCTGTCTCTATGGATTTACCTGTTCTGCACATTTACATAAATGGACTCATACGGTATGTGGCTTTTTGTGTCTGATTTTTTTTTACTCAGCATCATGTTTTCAAGGCTCCTACGGTTTTTAGGACAATCACCACCACCACCACAATTAGGAGGAGGAAACAGCAGCAGATGCTGATGTTCCTACGCGTGTGGTTCCGGGGTGTGTAGGAATAGAAGTGCTCACTTGAGGGGCAGATCTCGACTTCCCTCTCCACCTGGCAAGTGGTGTCTGCTCCTGGGATCCAAGAAGCGGGGAGGCTCATCGCCTGCGTGGGCCTCGCAAACAGGGAGGACACCAAGGGCCATGCCCTTCCTGTTTCCGGCCCGGTGTCCTCAGAGGGGAGGGGCAGTGATGGGGACATTGGTGACTGCACGGCAGGGCCTAACGCCCTCCGAGCACAAAATCCCTGCAGACATGCCTCGCAGTTGTCACTGTCGTGTGGCCCTTCAGGAGAGATTTCCTTGATCATAGGAATCTCCTGCATCGATTTAAATCCTTCTCTGTAGCATTTTTTCAGAATTCGGAACACCAAGTTGTTCAGGGTCCTTGAGATGTTCTCTTGTGTGAACTGAGGAACCTCAAACGGAGGCTGGGAGCACTTCTTACATCTCTGAGCAAACACCCTCATCTTCACCTGGCCCCTGGACTTCTCCGCACTCCAATGCATGTGGAAGAGGACCTGAACTTGGGCGGAGGCCCAACTGCGAGAGCAGGAGGAACACTGGAACCTGCGGACACAGAGGACAAGAGCCTCAGCGTGGCGCCATGTGGCCAAGTCATGGGCTGAGGCTGGAGGGGGGAAGGAGCTGCCAGCAGCACAGAGACTTGATTGGGCTGTGGATTAGCGGTGGAGAAACTTCCTGAGCCTTCATTCCCATCTCCACTGTGTCACAGACACGTCTGTTTCCCACAGGTGTCTGCCGTGAAAATAACAAATCACGAGCCGTCAGGGTTGGGAGGGACCTTGGGTGTCTACTAAGTCCAACATGCTCATTTGAGAGGTGAGGCCACTCTGAAGTCTCGTCATGCCCAGAGACCCAGTGTGGGTAACAGGACCCCAAACCAAGGTTGCTTCTAATGTAAACTTAAATGGGTCAAAGGCTACAGCTGCAACGGCAGCCAGATCAGTTCAGAACCCGGAACTGAAATCCACAGATGGACACAAGTGGGTGTTAAGTCACAGACCCACAGGTCAGGGTCCTAGAGTGAAGCCTCGCCTCGCCCTTGGCTGCCCAGGGCCCTGGTCTGCAGTGTCACAGGGAGAGCCAGTGTCCAGTTCCCTCTTCTCTCTCTCCCCCTCCATCCCAATTCTTTTGCTTAAGGTAGCCTGGAAAGCTTCATATTCTCAGTGCCACTGGCCTCAGACAGGGTGTAAGAGAATGACACCTTGTCTCAGCAGGGAGGAGGGCAAATTTCTGAGCTAAGATATTTGAACAATACACGTTAGGACAGGTAAAGAGAGAAGACGGCAGGAAGCACACGGCTGCACCCAGGATAGAAATCATGAGAGAGGCAGAGGACTGCCGTGTGGCAGAGACATTTAATGGTCGCCACATTACCCATGTGCTCCCTCCCACTCCCCAGCCCCCAAGCAGTCAGGTTGGGGCCACGGGGCCAGCTGGCCAATGAAATGAGACCGGCAGTGATATGTGCTCCTTCCAGATCTGACCACAGCAGCCCATGTAAGACATTCCAGCTCTCTCCTCCTCTGCCCCAGTGACCTCGGGAGCCACGTGTTGGCTTAAATCCCTGGTATTTCCAGGTGCACTTGTTACTGTAGCTGAGCCTAGCCTTGCCCGGTTTGATGCAGGGCACCTGAAGTCGGGATGTGACTGGGAGGGGCCTGGGAAGAATGAGTCGGTCCAGGTCTCCCTCCTGGATCTTGGTTCTGGCCTCACCGCACAGGCTGAACATGAGGATGGGACAAGGGGAAGAGGCCAAGAAGCTTCGTCCACCGTGAGAGGCCCTTGCTGGGACTCACTGGCAGTCCGAGGGGCCTGGGCTGTGTTCTGAGCCAAAGTCTGCCGCCCTCCCCTGGGTCATGGTGCTCTGCTCCTGTGCTGGCTCAGAGCCCAAAGTTCTCACGAGTAAATGGCCGAGACTTTGCTCCAATGCTCCTGATGCCAGCTCCTGGCCTGGGAAAGCCGCAGGCCATGAGGACAGCTCTGACTCCTCTGCCCAGACTCCAGAGAGAGGGCAGCAGGCAGCAAAGAGTCCCAGGACTCCACCCTCTGCTCTCCGAGGGCAATCCCCACACCCTCTGCCTCCGGGCCCTGGGACTGCACTTTCCCAGTGGGGACAAGGGAGGGCAAGACTTTGGATGATCTCTGAGTCCTATTTAGAAAAGATTCTATCAGCTGAGGGCAGAGAGGGGCGAGATTGCTGTGTGTTGCTCAGCCGCCCTGCTCTTCTGGCCTCTCCCTGGGGGGTCTCCTCTGCGCGGTGGGCCTCTCCCCCCAGGGGATCTGTAGTGGACCCACGAGTCTTCCAAGGCTGTGGGAGCGCATGTGCTACCCGAGTGAAATAGCTGCCCTTCCTCCCCTTCCCCTTTCCTCGCTGTCCAGTGCCTCTACCGCCGCAGTTTCATCCCCGCAGCCTGCTTTCTCCGTATCTAGGCATTAGCCCGAACTGGTGTCCAGGCCTGCTATTGTTTGGGGGTTCATTGTAATTTAATGAAGTTAAAACTTCTTGGATGATAGGCAGCTTACTTCTTATAGTCTTCCATTTGCAATCATGGAATGGAACAAGAAAAGTAATCAGTATACGTAGTAAGAAATCAGTAAGACTTTCTGGAACATGTACCATTGCATTCCCCCCTCACCTGGCGAAGGCCCACTGCTGGTATTGCATCCATCCTGGCTTCAGGACATTGGGAAGAAGGCCCTTGTCTGGTGTCAGGGTCCATCTGTGCCATGGCTTCACCTCCTGGATTAATTCCTGAAACACCTGCTTCCACACCTCGGTGTCTGGAGCCATCTCCGCCGCTGTGGTGCACCTGGGCAGGTCGAGCTCTCCCAGGCCCTGGCAGGCCTGTAGAGGGAGATGAGGTTTTTCGCTTCAGAGAGTGAGGGCTCAGCCCTGCTCTCCCTTTGAGGGCCTGGACTAGGCCCACGGACTAGGTCTCTGCCCAAGGACAAAGGTCAGTTGATTCTGTCTCCAAGTTCAGAGAACAGCACTAGGCTCCACAAGAAATTTCGAAAGACATGAAACTCATGGTTTCATCCATCAAAATGTTACCAAAGAAGAGCTCAGGACTCCATGTCAGGAGGAGAGAATTTCAGTCTGGCTCTGCTGTCTACCTACCTTTAGCCTGGAACACACCTTTTTTACCTCCAGCAAGCCTGTAAATGGTGGAGAGAGGCTGAGGTTGCTCTTTGCAGCTCTAATATTTGAAAGTCCTGCTCCATCAGGCCACTGTGCTCATGCTGGGGAGGAGAGACACAGAGAAAGATGTGCCTGTTCTGGGACATCACCGGGATTCCTGTGTCTCTGCTCCATGCTCTTTACATCCTCGTAGACACCCAGCTGTCCAAAGCTGCCCACCCGTTGGAAACCAAAGCTGATACAGTCAGTGTGTGCCCAGGAGACCGGCTAGAAGGGCCCTAGGCAGACCTCGAGCCACCGTCTTCCTCCCCGAGGGGCTTCCCCCTGGCCCCACTTCCTGCAGGAAAGTCTTGAGGAGGAGGAAGTGGGACAAGCTGGGGCGAGTGTTGGAGCAGACAGCACCCCAGGAAGGTCACCAGACTCTGGGTGTCCGCATCACAAGGCCAGTCCACCAATGACCGCGTGGGTCTTCCTCTCAGCTGGACACTGACCTGTGTCCCTGGCTAGCTCCCAAGAGGAATGCTGCATCCTTGGCTGGGAGGAGCAGAGGAAGGAAAGGAGCCAAGGGGGGAGGAAAAAGGAAAGGAGGCAGGGGGATGAGGAGGGGACAGGGTTTCTGTGACTGTTGGGAATAAGGCCACCTCCTTCCTCCTCTCCAGCCCATCTGCCCACTGCTACCGCCCTTGGGTTCAGCTCCCTCCTCAGCTGGCCCACGCTGTGGCTGTCTCCCCTTTTCCCTCACTAGTTTTTTTCACATTATAGTTGTCCCTCAGTGCCAGGGGGATTGGTTCCGGGACCCGCTGTGGATACCCAGAGCCTGGAGTGCTCAGGCCCGATATAAAATGGTGTAGCGTTTGCACATAATCTCTGCACATCCTCCCATACCCTTTATATCATCTCCAGATTACTTGTAATACCTAATACAATCTAGATGCTGTATAAATAGCTGTCATTTTAAAAATGGGTGTTATTTTTATTGTTGTATTATTTTTTATTGTTTACTTTCTAAATATTTTCGACTCTCACTTGGTTGAACCCATCAATGTGGAACCCGAGGACATGGGAGGGCCAACTGCACTCATGAGTCACCTGAATTTGGGAAGCCCTCTTCATTTCTTGCTTTTGACTTTTTCTTTTCCTTCAACCTCTGTGCTCCTCCTGCCTGTTGTCGACTTCAGGGCAGACTGGGAAAGGATTTACAAAGTGAGGAGGGTGCAGGGAAGAGAATCTGGATCAGAAGTCCTGGAAGCACAGACATGTGCTGCATAACTGGATGGGTGAGGAGGAGGGGCAGGGCTGAACCCCTGGTCACCAGCAGATGCCTGCAAGTGTTGCTGTGTTTGCTCTGGAGGTCAGGAGGCCTTGGCGTCAGCCCTGGCTGGGTGACCCTGGACACATTTCCTCACTCGTTCATTCTAAACAAACCCCCTTGGTTGGTGTCTGCTCTGTACCAGGCACTGTGCCTAGGGCTAGAGGGCAGACACGGAAGATCCTAAGGTCACTGATCTTGCTTCTAATGGGAGAGAGGGAGAAAAAAACATTACAAACCATGGGGACCAGCGCTGTCTGCGAGGTTGACTCTGGGTGGCAGGGAAATGCAAGGGCTGCCTGGCCCAGGCTGGGAGGATGGGGGCTCCTCCAGGAGCAGGAGCTCCCCACCAACGCACCCTCTCTGGGGCTCTTGTGGATGAGGCAGGGTTCAAACACAGTAAGTGACAAGTGCATCGCCAACCTACTGTGTGGCAGCCCTTGTGGGAAGCCTTCACAGCGGCCCTGGAGGAAGGCCCACTTCTTTGTATTCATGTTTTCCTAACTAACCCTTACTGAGCGCTCACTCCCTCCCAGGCTGCTTTCCAGCCCATTCCATTCATTAGCTCAGCTCATCCTCAGCACAACCCTACAGGGTAGGTGCTGTCTACCCCATTTTACAGGCAGGGAAGGTGAGGCCAGAGAAATTAAATGAGCAGAGTACGGAGCTGCTGCGTGTCAGACCTGGACTCAGCCTGGGGAGGCCGGAGCGGAAGCTGAGGCTGTGTGCTCCGCACGCACACGCCACGACCCCTCCCTCCTCAGGTGGGGAGAGGGATTCACAGACATCAGGCAAGTGGCAGAATCCAGCCAGAACCCAGTTCTTGGGAGGCCCCAGAATCTAACACACCAAAGGCCGCTGTCCCAATTCTGGGGACCTGTGAGGACCCTGAAGGGTAACTCTGGAGTGGACCAGAAGCGCCCCTCTGTTCTGACCCCCATTGGAAACATTTTGAAGCCTTTGGAGCCCACACTTCTGCCTTCGTAAGGAGAGCCTGGCAGGTCAGCGCCTTGCCAAGCCTGCCGAGCGCTGTCTAGTGTGATCACATGGTTGTCACCAACCACTGTTCCCCATGGGGAGGCTCTGCTCCTTCTACATCAATTCCTGCTTTCAGCCAGAAAATCACAGGGAGAAGGAGTTATGCCAAAAGCTATTCTGTACAATTGGGTTTTCATATGGATTTGTCAGAGCAAGTGAGTAATTCACATCAGGGAAGGAGGGGGCAGGGTGGCTGGTGACGGGCAGGGCCCTTGGCTCACCTTGAGGGGCAGGTAGGCAGCGATGGTGATCTTGGCACGCAGGTGGCCGTGGCTGTGTTTGTAGCTCACCAGGAGCGTGGTGGAGCCCTGGGCCTCGGCTCCCACCCTGATGCGGGTGTACTGCTTAGAGCAGTGGCAGCCTCTCCACACAAAGAGGACCACATGGTCACCATGAACTTGCTTTTGCTGGAGACGGCATGAAAGTCTGAGGGTCCCTCTTTCATCTTGGGCTTGATATGCAATATGATGTTTTTAAATTAAAAAGTTTTAATTTCAATATAATTCACACAGATGTACAATTTACAATTATTTTTTCCACATATTAAACACATACTATATACTATACCCAGATCGAGAAACAGATTATTGGCACCACGAACTCTCCCAGAGACCCATCTGATGTCTACCCCTGCCCCAAGGAAACCACTACCCTGACTTCTCCCAGCACACAATTTTGCTTGATGCTGTAGTTTCTATAACGGAAATTGCCGAGCATAAACTCTTCTGTATTGGCTTCCTCAGCTCAATATTGTTCACGAGATTCCTCATCTGTTGCACATTGTGCATCTTTTATCCACGTTTCTATATATTATGCCGTTGTGTGAATACAGAGCAATGGATTCACCCACGCTATTGTGCACACTTTGGTTCCTTGCAGTTTGGGGCTCTGATCCACAGGGCTGCTAAGGACATCTGTGTACCTTCCTTTTTGGGGACACACTTAGGCACATCTCTTGGGTGTGTCCCTATAGGTGAGATTCCTAGGCCATGCGGCATGCATTGTTACTGCCAAATATCTTTCTCAAAGTGGTTCCATCAATTGAAACTGCTACTAACAGTTGCCCTACATGCCTGCCTTTATTTTCCATCAATGCTTTCATTAAATTTTTAAAACCTTATTTATGTTGATTATGATAAAATACACATAACAAAAAACCTCCCAGCCTTGCACTTTTACATGCACAGTTCAGTGGCGTGAAGTACGCTCACATTGGTGTGCAAGCATCCCCACCATTTATCAAACAACTCATCCCGTAAACTGAAACTCTGTACCCAATAAGCAATAAGTCCCTAATTCCAATGACTCCACCCCACCCCTGCAGCCACCCTTCTACTTCCTGTCTCCCTGAATTTGACTACTCTGGGTACCTCATATAAGTGGAATTTGACAGTATTTACCTTTTGTGACTGGCTTATTTACTCAGCACAATGTCCTCCAAGTTCATCCATGTGGTAGCATGTGACAGAATCTCCTTCATTTTTAGGGTTGAATAACAGTCCACTGTATGGATAGGCCACATTTGCTGTATCCATTCATCCCTGGTGAACACTTGGGTTACTTCCGCCTTTCGGCTCTTGTGAATAACACTGCTGTGATCGTGAGTAGACAAACACCTCTTTGAGATCGTGCTTTCAATACCTTTGGGTATATAGCCAGAGGTGGGATTGCTGGATCACATAGTAACTCTGTTTAATTTTCTGAGGAACCACCATACTATTTTGAACAGCAGTGACACCATTGTACTTTCCCTCCACCAGTGCACGGGAGTCCAATTTCTCTACATCTTCACTGACTTTTTTTTTTGTAAGACAGGGTCACATTCTTTTGCCTGGGCTAGAGGAGTGCCGTGGCTTCAGCCTAGCTCACAGCAACCTCAAACTCCTGGGCTCAAGAGATCCTCCTTCCTCAGCCTCCCAAGTAGCTGGGACTACAGGCATGCGCCACCATGCCCGGCTAATGTTTTTTCTATTTTTAGTAGAGATGGGATCTTGTTCTTGCCCAAGATGGTCTCAAACTTCTCACCTCAAGAGATCCTCCCTCCTCAGCCTCCCAGAGTGCTAGGAATACAGGCATGAGCCACCACACTTGGTTTAAAAATTTGGATATGAAACCATCTGGTCCAGGATCTTCTTTCTAGGAAACTTTTTTATTGCTGCTTCAATTTCAGTGCTTAACATTGGTCTGTTTAAGAATTTTATTTCTTCCTGATTGAGCCTAGGGAGGCTGTGTGTTTCTAACACTTTATCCATTTCCTCTACATTTTCACATTTATGTGCATAGAGGTTTTTATAGTATTCATACATATTTTGTATCTGTGGTATCATTTGAAATTTCTCCTTTTTCATTCCTGATTGAGCTTAATAGAGTCCTTTCTTTTCTG